AATATATATAATATTCAATGTATATATTTTCTTCCAAGTAATATATTTATCAGAGACAAATTGTTACAACTTATAATGAGATACATACCTGAGTTAAACCAGCACCTGTTTGCATAGAAGATTTTTTTAATAGTCTCACTTCTTTGTTTATGTATCTCAGCATTCCACTAAGAGTAGTAAAATCATTACTCTCAGAACTATCATCCTCTATGGTATATGTGTGAGATTTAAATGAGTCTGACTGGGTATAAGTCAGTTCCTTATGGCTTTCTTCTAATGTTGAAGGCTGTTCTAATTGCATTTTCTTTAAGTCCTGTAGTAATTCTTCAGAAAGATCTTCATTACCATGAGATTTGAAACTAAGATCACTGGCACTAATAGAGCGACGTAGTTTTCTGCACTTGAAAACAGATGTGTGAGAATGTTTAGTAAACTTTGGATCTTGACTATCAGGCATAATTTCTGGTAGAGGTGTAAAGGGAGCTGGTAGAAACTTGATGTCTTCTGCCTTTTCATGTCCAGAAACTCTAGCTTGTAATCTGGTTAATTCTGATTCCTACAGAAAAATTAAACACAGTACATAGAAGGTGCTCAGTATATTTTTGTTAAGTGAATAAACAACCTAGAAAATCAAACTCTTAGAAGTCATCTATGTCAACCTTCATCTCAGAACAGGACTTAAGATCTTGACAGCAACTCTTTAAGAATTTTCCAAGGGCTATTTAAACACTTTACTATTTAAGATAGCTTCATTTTGAGACAATTACATATGTTCATTCAAAATATGTCTAAAGTAGCCTATGGAATTCCATAAATACTAGGTTTTCCTTATAGAATTTTTTTTAGTGTTAATGACAATTTTAATTTCTATTCAAAAATAAAAATCTTACACCTAAAAATTTCTCTGCAAATATATAAAGATACATGGTATACATAAAGACTACCTTCAGAATTTCTAAAAGGAAATAAATATATTATCAGCTATTCTGCTTTCATAAATTAGAATTATTTTGAGAAAAAAATTAGAGGGTCATAATCTTTAATAAATCAATCTTATTAAACATTATATTTCTGTTATTTTCCTATGTCTTTCATTGGGTACTCTGAGCTGTACCAGGATACTGAGAATGAGACCTATACTGCAAAATCAAGAAGCCTAAAGAAAAAAAAAAGAAAAAGAAAAAAAAAAGGATGGTATTTTAATTTTAACTAAAAGTTAAATAAAATATTAAAATTTTCTATTTTTAATATTGGGGATATTGCTCAGTGGTCAGTGCCCCTGAGTTCAATCCCCAGTAACCCCTCCACCCTCAAATAATAGTAGCCTCCTGTTTAAATGAATCTCTTTTTTTTACAGGTATGTTTAAGATATATATTTTTAAATCACTTTTAATCTGATAGTTTCTATTTTTAAGTTTGTTCCCTAAAAATACTGTCCCTAAAACTGAAACTGTTATAACCACAGTATACAAAACAAAATGAAACTTTTAACTCCCACATTCCAGTTCTTTTAGGACTTTGTACTATTTTATTTAAATAACTTTCTTTTAAGTGACTAGAAAGAGTGACAAGTTTTTGTTTTGGTGGGGTCTTTTTTTTTTTTTTTT